TAGGATTTGTCCTATCGTGGCACCACAAATATTTAATTAACGTACTTATTTCTAATATTGATATAATTTGTTTACCTACAAAATCCGGTTTTTGTTGCTTGGTTATAAGTATAATATACAATATGTAAGTAATCTTTTGAGAGTTTTTTCTTTAACCACCCATTTTCACGTCACTCACGCAGCTAAACCATTTGATAAAATAGAAAAATTTAAAACACACGATTTTATTCTCTTTAATTTTATATAGGGTTAACTTCCACGCAAAACAAATTTTTACACGTTTCTTACGTTTTCCAAAAAAGTTTGGTTAGCACACCTCAGATTAAGGTTTAGCAACCCAAAAAAACATAAACTATGTTGACATCTGTCATTCACTTTATGTGGCTGAACCGTTTTAATCGCCATTATATTTTGTTTTTAATTTTCCGTTTTTTTGCGATTCTACTTAGAAATCTAATATATATTGTTGTTGATTAATTTTCGTTCCAATTACCTGTAATAATCCAAACTTTTGTGTCCTCAGCGAGTACAGAAATATTAGGTTATAACATATTTGATTATCAATAATTTCTTTAAGTATATCTTTTCTTACCAGAAACTTACTCTTTTGATACTGTTAAAAAGACAGTCCGGCTCTTTTATATTATCTTATACTCTTTCTCTTCTAATAATAGTGAATCTAGGGCTATTTAACTTTGTAATTTGTTCTAAATGTGTTTTATATATTGTTGTTGTTGTTGTTATTGTTGTTGTTATTGTGTTTTTATTTTGTTATTATAATGCCGTATTTATTTAATTATTTTCATATAAATCATTAGTAGTGTTTCCTTGTAGAATCTTAGTTTTTCGTTTAATATTTTGTCGTTTCTGTTTATTAAAACCATGTTGTTCGCATAACACGAACATACAAAAAGGACGAATGCATGTTATCTTTGACTGGACTAATAAATATATCTAAACCTGGTTGAATCTTTGAATACGGTGCTACAACCGTAACTTTCATCACGGTGGTAAAGGGTCATTCATATGAGCAATTTACATATTTAGAGACAGCTTAATGCATTAAACCACTAAATCATTACTTGCTATTTTGTGTTTTGTAATATACTGATAATTTAGTTTACACAGTATCTAGTAGAGAAAATGTTTCCAGGTTTTAAGTTTATCAACCATTTTACTTAATATAAAATAAACAGGTTTTGTAAACTTAATACATATTTTCCTTAGAAATTTGCAGGCTTATAACTCAATATATTTACCAATGCTAACGTCTTTAGAAAAATTAGTTATTTATCTCTAAGGATAATTGACGCACGTTGGCACTTGAAATTTACGTACTATAAAAGTCAAAAATTACAAAAGATAATCGGTGTAAATAAAGTATACATAATAATAATAATAATAATAATAATAATAATAATAATAATAATAATAATAATAATAATAATAATAATAATAATAATAATAATAATAATAATAATAATAATAATAATAATAATAATAATAATAATAATAATAATAATAATAATAATAATAATAATAATAATAATAATAATAATAATAATAATAATAATAATAATAATAATAATAATAATAATAATAATAATAATAATAATAATAATAATAATAATAATAATAATAATAATAATAATAATAATAATAATAATAATAATAATAATAATAATAATAATAATAATAATAATAATAATAATAATAATAATAATAATAATAATAATAATAATAATAATAATAATAATAATAATAATAATAATAATAATAATAATAATAATAATAATAATAATAATAATAATAATAATAATAATAATAATAATAATAATAATAATAATAATAATAATAATAATAATAATAATAATAATAATAATAATAATAATAATAATAGTAGTAGTAGTAGTATTTATTGACATTTTTCATACATATCAGTACATATAGTCAAAAGGAGTAAATATAAAAAAATAGAAATAATTGACAAGCAACTAAAATATAAACAGTAATGAATACAAAATCAAATAAAGAGATATATAGTCAATTTTACACATAAATTTTTACAGTACATGTGGTTAAAATCTTAAAATAACTAACTTAATAAAGTACATTTTTATAAAAAGTATAACGAGTACAAAAACAAATTAAAATATATTTACATTGAAAAGGTTAGATATTCTTCGATACAGTAGAAACAATATTTTACTAAAAATTCTTTTGCAATATTCCTAAATCTATTTTTAGACAAATTCTTAACGTTAATATCATGATGTAGTTTTAAAAATTTGTTATAAATATTAATATCTAATTTATTGTTTCTACTTGCACAAATTCTTGACCATAGAGTTACAAGGTTTTCTGAGCCCCTTGTCTCGTAACCGTGCGTATCAGAATGAATAGTTAGAATATTTAGCTGTTCATGTATTGTGGTAAGCGTTTCCAAAATGTACACGCACGGCATAGGTAGAATTTTGTGTTTTACAAACAAAGGTCTGCAGGAGGCGTCATATTCTGTGTCTTCTAGTATACGAATAGCCTGTTTTTGAAGAATAAAAACCTTATAGGACGTGGTAGCTCTACCCCAGAGTATGACGCCATACTGCATATGGCTATGGACAATGGCGTAATATACAGTTTTTAATACAGCCTTGCTTAGGAACCTAGCCATTTGTCTCAATGCAAATATTTGTGACGACATCTTGGCGCAGATACTCTGAATATGGGGGGCCCAGTTTAGTCCCGCGTCTAGTACCGCCCCCAACAGCTGTACTGTACATTGCTTTTCTACAAGTTTGCTGGCTGTGAACGTTATGTTTTGGGTTTTTCTATCGTTTAATTTTAACTCATTTGACGCGAACCAGTTTTTTGCCAATGCCAAGTCATCCCTCATTAAATCAGAATTATTTCTCGTAAGAAATGTTGTGTCATCAGCAAATAGGACGCTAGTACCCAGGCCAACGGTATTGGGTAGATCGTTAATGTATAGAAGAAACAAGATAGGGCCCAGAACGGAACCCTGTGGAACGCCTCTATTAGTGGTGACTAATTGAGACTCGATACCATTGTAGCTGACGTACTGCGTTCTATTTGTGAGATAAGATTCAAATAGGTTTAACTCATTACCTCTTATTCCGTAGTATTCAAGCTTATATAGCAGCACATCTATATTAACACAGTCGAAGGCTTTTGTCAAATCACAAAGGGTAGCTGTAGTGCTCTTTTCTTCATCAAAACCCTCGACTACGCTTTCTATAACTGCTGCTAAAGCTTTTACAGTTGATCTATTTTTCCTGAAACCGAATTGTGCTGAAGAGAGTATATTTTTATTTTCCAGATAATCAATTAACTTATGTTTTAATAAGGTTTCAAAAATTTTTCCTATTAAAGGAACAATTGCTATTGGCCTGTAGTTGTCAGGTTGATTAGGATCGCCCTTCTTTAATATGGGTATAACTTTATTGATTTTTAGATTATTGGGCCATACTCCCGATTTCAAGCATACATTAAACATAATGTTGAGTGGTTCAGCAAGTATATCAGCAGCTGGTTTAAGTATATGAGTGTTTAATCCATAACAATCCATGCACGAAGACTGTCTTAGACCTAATAGTGCCTCCTTTACATCTAAGTTAGTTATTGGTCCCATAAAAAAAGAGTTGAAAGGTTTTTTAACATTATTTAAAAATATACATGGGTCATCTCTAACATTACCTATTGTACTCACTATTTTATCTGCTATAGATGCAAAAAAAGCACTGAAATCATCAGAAGATAAATTACTTATTGTATTATTATTGCAGTTAGTATGCCTTTCTTGGTTTACTAGTTTCCATATTGTCTTATTTCTGTTGTCAGATTGAAGTATCTCGTGGCTATAGGCATTGCGTTTTTCGCTTCTAATTGTGCGTTTATAGTTTTTTCGCGATTCATGGTAAATAACCCAGTCTTGCATTGAATTAGTTATTTTAAATTTTTGTTTGTTTGTAAATACTTGTTTACGTTGCATCCGTAATTCCTTGCCAAACCACTCATCATATCTGCGCTTGCTGTGACAGACTGTTTCTGGAAAGGATAGATTAACACAGGAACGTAGCGATTCAAGTATCTGCGCAGAGATAGCGTCACTGTTAAGACTCTCTATCTCTCGATCAATCCATTTCACTTCGCTTATATTATTTACAAATGTGCTAATTGTATTATTATTTATTATTCGACGTTTCACATTTAGGTGTTTTTTTTGTTTTATCATATTAATAAATAAATAGACTCCTGAGTGATCGGCTATGTCACAATCAAATAGGCCGGTATATATTTCAGTAGTATTTATATTAGTGATAATATTATCTAGGGCTGATCGAGAGGTAGGAGTTATTCTTGTTGGCTCATGTATAAAGTGATTTAAACCAAATGTTGCAAATATATTACACATATCCAAACTATGCTCATTACTCGCGTCAAGGTCGATATTAATATCACCAATTAAGCTTATTTTATTGTATTTTTTTGACATGTGATGTAACAATTGTAATATTTTATTTTTAAAAATTTTAATATCGCCATTACTAGAAGATCTGTAACAGACAATCAACACGCTTTTTTTATGCACAAATTCAATTCCACAAAATTCTGCATGGTAAGCCGTGCAAAAATTTGAGCAATCAATACTTTTAAGTTCTAAGTTGTGGTTTGTATATATAGCCACACCACCATGTTCATTAAATCCTTCTCTACAATAATGAGAAAGCAAAGAATAATTGTTCAATCTTATAGTTGATAAATAAGAACTGTTTAGCCAGTGTTCAGATATGCACAATATGTCGAATTTATACATTTTTAACAGTAGATTTAGTTCTGTTACTTTATTTGAAATACTTTGTACATTGATGTGATATATCGAACATAGATTGGTCTGCGATAAACATGTTTGAAAAAAACTTAGATTTTTATTTTCAGATATAAAATTCGGTACACTAATAGTATGTCCTTCAGGGAAGGCACTAATCTCGTTGATCACTGATTTCTTTCTTTGGAAAAAACCTATACAAAATTACACCATAGGGCCAGATATCATTGCGCATAATGGAGTGGCATTCAGCTTTTGCCACAGTTATCTTGAATGATGACTTTTGCGGATTCTGACAGTTGAGCTTCTCTACTTGGACACTCGGAGCATACTTGGCAAGGTGTGTTTGCAGCTCTTCTTCTGTTGCATCTAATGCAAAGTTAGTAGCGTGGTAATAATGCTGTTTGTTGATGATTCCTGTTGCTGCAGCTCTTAGGCGGCATTCCTGTATATTTTGTTGCGATCCTACTAAAAGGCTGTTGCGGTTTCTAAGTGCTTGTCTAGGACGGTGTTGAAAGGCCTGCTCAGATTTGGCAACTTTATCAGTTTGGTTAAGGTTAATGATCGAATCACAAATTAACTGTGCATTAGCATTATGAACCGCATGAGCTACATTTTTATTAGATATGACAGTTTGCTTCGAAACTACACCAGAATACTCTGGCTTTTCTGATTTATTTGCAGTGGAAGGTGTTGATTCCCCATTATAAATTGGTTTTGTAGGAGCTACAGAAGCTGCAGTGGAAGTAATATTCATAGCATTTTTTAAAAGGTCAATTTGGTCTGTTAGCGAATTTATAACTATCTTCTGATTATCTATTATCGTTTCTTTATCTCTTATTATTCTTTCTAAATAACTTATTATTAATTTATCTCTAACACTATCATTGCTTTCAGTATTTTCGATTTTTTCAGTATTTTCGATTTTTTCACAGTCAGATACAGTACTCTCGTTAGTGTCTGAGCAACAATTTATAGTTTGTTCGTCCAGATATACGATGTTTTTGAGACTGGTTAAACAGCTCTTGTGAGATATATTATTGCAAACTACACACTGTAAGCCTGTCTTGGCTTCTTTTTTGCATCTTTTGCATCTGCTGCCTTCCAAGTTATTTGATTCATTTCCCATTTTATTTAGTTGTAGTTTATTAAATAAATAATATTTTACAAATTCTTCACAAGATTCTCTAATGAACTGGTAAAAATATCACCGTGGTGGAATGAACCGGCCAGCTAATGATTGTGTACAAAGTTTGTTTACTCACCTTGAGAGGGCAATATCAATTTTCGTGGTTATTTCACATTAAACTAACTCACAAGTAGTTATGCATACGCACTGCACTCTAATTAAACTATTTCACTCCTAGAAATTAATTATTTTGGGCAAAAACTAAGGTTTTTAAGTTTCAGAACACCACGTTACTATTAAATAATAATAATAATAATAATAATAATAATAATAATAATAATAATAATAATAATAATAATAATAATAATAATAATAATAATAATAATAATAATAATAATAATAATAATAATAATAATAATAATAATAATAATAATAATAATAATAATAATAATAATAATAATAATAATAATAATAATAATAATAATAATAATAATAATAATAATAATAATAATAATAATAATAATAATAATAATAATAATAATAATAATAATAATAATAATAATAATAATAATAATAATAATAATAATAATAATAATAATAATAATAATAATAATAATAATAATAATTAATAATAATAATAATAATAATAATAATAATAATAATAATAATAATAATAATAATAATAATAATAATAATAATAATAATAATAATAATAATAATAATAATAATAATAATAATAATAATAATAATAATAATAATAATAATAATAATAATAATAATAATAATAATAATAATAATAATAATAATAATAATAATAATAATAATAATAATAATAATAATAATAATAATAATAATAATAATAATAATAATAATAATAATAATAATAATAATAATAATAATAATAATAATAATAATAATAATAATAATAATAATAATAATAATAATAATAATAATAATAATAATAATAATAATAATAATAATAATAATAATAATAATAATAATAATAATAATAATAATAATAATAATAATAATAATAATAATAATAATAATAATAATAATAATAATAATAATAATAATAATAATAATAATAATAATAATAATAATAATAATAATAATAATAATAATAATAATAATAATAATAATAATAATAATAATAATAATAATAATAATAATAATAATAATAATAATAATAATAATAATAATAATAATAATAATAATAATAATAATAATAATAATAATAATAATAATAATAATAATAATAATAATAATAATAATAATAATAATAATAATAATAATAATAATAATAATAATAATAATAATAATAATAATAATAATAATAATAATAATAATAATAATAATAATAATAATAATAATAATAATAATAATAATAATAATAATAATAATAATAATAATAATAATAATAATAATAATAATAATAATAATAATAATAATAATAATAATAATAATAATAATAATAATAATAATAATAATAATAATAATAATAATAATAATAATAATAATAATAATAATAATAATAATAATAATAATAATAATAATAATAATAATAATAATAATAATAATAATAATAATAATAATAATAATAATAATAATAATAATAATAATAATAATAATAATAATAATAATAATAATAATAATAATAATAATAATAATAATAATAATAATAATAATAATAATAATAATAATAATAATAATAATAATAATAATAATAATAATAATAATAATAATAATAATAATAATAATAATAATAATAATAATAATAATAATAATAATAATAATAATAATAATAATAATAATAATAATAATAATAATAATAATAATAATAATAATAATAATAATAATAATAATAATAATAATAATAATAATAATAATAATAATAATAATAATAATAATAATAATAATAATAATAATAATAATAATAATAATAATAATAATAATAATAATAATAATAATAATAATAATAATAATAATAATAATAATAATAATAATAATAATAATAATAATAATAATAATAATAATAATAATAATAATAATAATAATAATAATAATAATAATAATAATAATAATAATAATAATAATAATAATAATAATAATAATAATAATAATAATAATAATAATAATAATAATAATAATAATAATAATAATAATAATAATAATAATAATAATAATAATAATAATAATAATAATAATAATAATAATAATAATAATAATAATAATAATAATAATAATAATAATAATAATAATAATAATAATAATAATAATAATAAAATAAATCAATAATTATCAAAACTAAGCTTTTTAACCAGAAAAAGGGTTGTAAAATATAAATACCAGGTAAATGAAACTGACAAATAATCTTCAATCAATGATATTACATATAAATAAATACAAATAACTACTATTTTTAGAAATATATTTAAAGATACTAAATATCAGTGATAATCATAAGGTGTCAAAGAAAAGTTAGATCTTTTGCATATGGATTTATGCGGACCAATGCAAGTTACTTCTGGAAAAGGCAAGATCCATGATGTAAGAAGCTTTATGCGATCATCGTTTTTGGGTGCAAGCTGTAAATACTTTCTTTTATTTAATTTATTTTCTGATAATCCTATAGAAAAGCGAAAAAACTTGATGTAAAAAGCCACAAAATGAAACAATATATAGCATATAGACTCTTTGTTCCTTAAACTAAGGAATTTTCAAGGGCTCGAGATGATTTTGGAAAAATGTTTGTTACAATAACAATCTTAGTCTACTGACAAGTAACAGCTAAGGTATAGTTATTTTAGATGACTTATTTTTTCTGAATTTGTCTTCAAATCCCGAAGAACCACCTCTTCAAGAAAATTTGGAAATAATCCAACTTCCAGAGGCTGTGGACGATAACGCCGCTATCAGTGAAGAAGAAAACGCCTTACAACAAGAAACTCCAACTCTATTACTACCTCCAGAGTCTAGATATTCACACCGAAAACGTGTTTCTAAAACATATTCATACTTTATACTTTACCAAACTATATGTAAGAACCAGAGGAACCTAAAACTGTTAATGAAGCTTCATCTGAAAAATACAATAGTGAGTGGAAAGCCGCTATGAAAAGTGAGTTTTACTCGCTTATGGAGAATCACACCTACGAGCTGGTAAATAAAGCAAATAATAAAAATATTATATATATTCACAGCAAAGCTTATTGCTAAAGAAGTTACACAAAAGTATGGAATCAGTTATTGTAAGACGTTTTTTCCCGTCATTCGTCATCTAGATATAGTAACCGGTTTACTTAATGGCGACCTAAAGAAAGTAATTTTCATGTACCAGCCAGAAGGGGAAGGAATGACAAGAAGGAAGTATCCAAACTGAAAAAAGTATTTTGCATAAATTTTAAAATTAAAGATTTAGGTAAAACTGCCAATTACCTTAGACTGAAAATTATGCAACGCAAAAAAATATTTCCTTGAGTCAGGAAACATACATTTTAAATTTGTTAAGAAAATTTAGCATGGAAGAAAGCAATCCAGTCAGTACACTGCTTGATTGTAGTGAAAGTTTTCAATAGCACTACAATGCTATTGGACGTTTAATGGTTTTAAGTGTTATGACACGACCAGATATTTTTTTTACTTGTTTATATTTAAGCGAATTTTATACCAGACACTCTTAAGATCATTAGCAGGCATTAAAACGTATACTTAGATATTTAAAGACAACCTCCAACCTGGGTTTAGTTAAAAAATTAAATATTATGCAGAATATTATTGGGTATGCTGATGCAGACTGGGGCAGAGATATAAAAGAGATTATATAACTCATTAAAAATTTAGCCAATAGAAATTACAGATTTTACATAGTTACTGCCGAGAATACCGATCAAGGAGAAGCGACAGTAGCTGTCGGTGCCTTTCATATCGGATATACTTTTTTCGCAGTATGACTTTGACGGATACACAACTTAGCACGCTGAGAAAACATGCTTATTTTCTACACTGAGCGAAATAGTTTGGCAAATTATCTGAAATTATTGTTATAGTTTATGCGCAAATGTTACAATGTGATTTAATTACATTGAAGTAGTTAGGGTTAATAGCAATGCTAATATTTCGGCACCAAAATATAATTCATTATGTAATAATTATTTATTATAAAAGTAAAAGACGTTTATTATTTTATTATTTTTCTATAAAATTTATTCAAAATTTGGTTTATTTATTGTTAAAAATATAATAAAAGCCCTATATTTAAATTAAATTACCTTTTTTTTAACTAAAAATAAGGTAAATAAAATTAAGGGTGTCAAAAAAAATTTAGGTGACAATTAAAAAGACATTAAGTTTGAGATGTTTGAATAAATATTTGCAATTTGCATATATTTTCAAAGCTTTTAGGTTTAAAAAGTACTTACATATTTTTAGAATTTCTAGATTTATATTATATTAAAAGGACTTTCAAGTTTATCACTCATTTCTGTAGAAACAAGTGTTTTCTCGCCAAGTTAAACCAGATGTCATTTAAGGTTTACGTATTTAGAGTTAAATACCTGGCCTGGCTATTACTCAGACAATTCAAATATGTCCATTGGACGTCCATTCGATATACAATTTTGGATGTCTAGACGTCCAAAAATGAGTTTTCTGGACTTCCGACATCCAATGGCACACTTTTGACCATTCAGAGGACGTCCAATTCTGGAATATATTTGGACGTCGAATACTGGACATTCAAAAAACGTCCAGGATTATATTTCCATTGAGACCACATCCCCACTTTTTTACAGAACCGCAACTCACCACACACTATTTTATATTATTAATAATTTATTTAATATTTTAGCAAATCGCTATACACCATTTATTTATTTTTTATTAAAAATCGCTTGACCTGAGCAAGCATCTAACTCACGACACATCCATTATCGTTTTACGCTTTCAATCGCTAGACGAGCTTGACCGAGGAACCACTTGAAAACTTTTTACTAGATACA